TTGTGGTTTATGATGCGACATCCCACTCGGGTCTAAAACAACCCTCCCCAACTTTTCTTTTTTTTTCCACCCCTTATTTTCGGGGTGCGCCGCACCCCGTGCGCTGTGCGCAGTGCGACGCGTGTGCGCGGTGCAGCGCACGTCGATGCGCTGCAAGTATGGTTTTCGGCTGTCGGGGGGAGTGGCGGTTTAGACCACCACTGCTTCGCCCACTGTTGGGAAAATGGGAAAACTGGCAGTTTTCCCATACTCGTAAAAAATCAGGGGGCAGGGCCCGGCGACGGCCGCCATTGATAAATCTCATTGGCAGCCGTCGTTTCGTTTTGGGCTCCTAAGAGATTGGAGGCGCACCCAAGGCCTACTTGGGAAAAAGCAGTGGTGCTTTAAGCCAAAAAATAATAATGAAAAAATAAAAACATAACAACAACAACAAAAACAAAAACAAAGAATAAGAAGAAGATGGGGGAATGAAAGGAACTTTTACCACTGAGCAGCCTTCGCGGTCTTCTAGTGTGAGAAGGAGAGCATTTGCTGCAGCCTCTGTCATGCGGTCGCAATCAATGACAGCCACCTACAACAATAAAAATCAACAGGGAATAAAACGAGCACCAGAAATCAAAGAGGCAAAATGAAAAACAAAATAAACAAAGGGATAACATTGGAGTCTAGGCATCTTCCACTGTTTCCAGAGAAGCTCACACACACACACACACACACTGACGAGTCGGTGGAAGTCAGACAAAACAGTCTGGCACAATCATGCTGTTTTTTAGTGTATAGCGAATATGACAACACACACACACACACACACACACACACACACACACACACACACACACACACACACACACACACACTCAGAAAGAGAGAGAGAGAGAGAGAGAGAGAGAGATTCATAATGCCCCATGATAAATTCCAGGTGCAATTATCTGGCATCCATAATGTCAACCACTGACAACACTGACAAGTAATCCACACACTTGCAACAATTCGATTCCCCACAGTGAACACCTGTCTCTGCAGAAACTCAATTTGTAAAGTCTTCCGGAAAAGAAAAGAACCCAGCCCATAGGGATGAATGGCACACGCATGAACTGTTAATTAACCAACCATGGTTCAAATCTTGATGCAATCAGCTCAACAACAATGGAATCGAATGGATCTTAAATTTAAATTAAAAAAAAAAAAAAAAAAAAAAAAATTCTGCTTGCATCACTTGGTGTAAAACTCAGGTTTTCATTGTTATACGTGGACGCTATAATAGTGCTTTGTTTGTTTGTTTGTTTGTTCGTTTGTTTGTTTTTGGAAGATGCGATTGCGAGGATGTTAGTCCCCCGGCAGTGTTGGAAAAGGCCTTGCCCGTCCTAAGTGAAGGCAGGCCTGCAAACATGAGCCTAGGCCGATGTACAGGCCAATGTGACCACAGAAAGGGCCAGAGGAGAAGACCCAAGAGGCCGGCTTTAAATCCTGACAGGTCCTAATCTGGGGTTTGCTCTGAGTCTATGCCTCATGCCAGACAGTTACAGCAGTGAAGGCGGGCCTGCAAACATGCGCCTAGGCCGGA